CCCCCGCCCCCTTCTTTAAGATGGTTTCTGACCGCCCCCCCCACCCCAGCTCCCACTGACATGCAACGAGTGTAAGTTTGAGGCAGGGCTCTGCTGAGAAATGGTTCCCACGAGACGGTTAGCGACACCTCCATCACCATAACGACCGTTTTTTTTGTGTGTGGGGGGGTAATATCGAAGCTCTAGTCTCTGAACGACTCCCGAGGCTATAATGCGGCACCGTTGACTCCTGCCACCTTGCTGTGTCCATCGGGCGCCCAGACCCAACTCACCTCAGACCCGGAAGTTTGTGCCCTTGACCTACGCCACCCCGCGCCTGGTCCCGCCACGCTGCTCTGCTCCCCTTTCAGGCCCCACACGTAGGTGGGAACACAGAGTGTGTCGTTTCCCTCCGGCTCATCTCGCTCAGCCCGACGCCCCCCAGGCGCACCCACGTCACGGGTGGCAGAGTCTCCTTCTTCGTGGCTGAATAATACTCTACCGTGTATGTCCGTGTGTCCGTGTGTATATGTTACATAGGATATGACAAATGGACTGCACACATATGTATCTAAAATCACGTTTTCTTCCTCCGTCCGTCCGTCCGTCGGTGGACATCGAGGCGTGACGTGCGTCTTGATATGGTCAGCGGCACCGCAGTGGGCAAGGGCTGCAGCTGCCCCTTTGAGACAGTGAATTCACTCCTTTCGGCTAAGGACCCCAGAATTTGGTTCTTCGTTATCTGCACTAATTCTGGAGTATGTCCCTAGAGAACAATTCTTTGTATATTGTCTTCCACTTTGGGAGTGGGCCAGCCACACCAGCACGATTCCGTGAGAACCCAGAGCCCTCGGGTCTGCTGAGGGCGTGAGCGGAGCAGACGGGCGGCCCCAAGAGGCCCCCAGGACCTGACCACAGCGTTTTATTTGGTTTCGACATCAGAGGGATATCTCACCTGAAATAGGGCTCTATCGCTTTACAAAACGAGGCAGAAAACATGTATCACACAAGTGATTCTCAAAACGTGGGCTTCGAACCAGCCACCGTAGGGGCTGGCAATTTACTGCAAAGGCAAATTCTCAGGCCTGACCCAAGAACCCCTGAGTCAGAAGCTCTGGGGGTAGCACCCGGATGCTGACGCCCGCTACCGTGCGCAAACCACTGAGTAGTCAGAAGCGGGGTTCCTGGATCCCCCCTGACAGCATGCGCATATCTGTAAGAGTGCCATTTCCCATTATGGGTTTTTTTTTTTTTTTAATTTAAATTTCACTGTGTACCGTTGGTGAGATAAACATGTACAGACAGGGCTAAGTTTTCTTTAGTGGGTAAAGTCATTCTTATTTGTACCCAGCCAACTCAAAAATGAAATTGCAGATGATCAACGATGGGGACACTCTCTTACGGGCAGAGCAGGTGATGTTCCAAGCACACCGCTCTGTCTCCCTGGTACGTCCCAACTAACCTCCAACAGTGAGGAGGATTTAAGTTCCATTGGTCATGGCAGGGAGGCTACACTGATTAACAGATTACTCGGGCGTATTATTTATTGTTAAAATCGTGGCTGGAAAAAAGTAAAAATATCCTTTGTTACCTACACTTTTCTTTGCCATAGTGGCTGATTTGCCCCAACACTCGGGAAATACATAAACACGCTGCCTAGCAGACGCCTGGCAGAGGGCGGAGGGCAGAGGGCGGAGGGCGGAGGTCAGCTCTCCGGCTCCCCCACGTCCCGCGTGCTGCGCGCGAAGTCCCAGCTGGCCTCGTGGGCTCAGGACTAGCCTGCCTCACGCTGGCCGGTCGCCTGCATGGGGATGGGTCACTGCAGGCCGGTGGTGGCTCCCTGTGGCCAGTGACGATCCGAAGGTCTAGCGTGGCATAAATCATCTTTGGGAAGCTCTGGGAGCTGGCTCCCCACAGCCCCCCTCTCCGCTTCCCACGTCAACATCCTCACCCCAGACCCTGACGTCAAGCCCCACTGGTCGTAAGTGGGGCTCTGGTCTTCCCGGCCTTTGTACTCACCCCCCTTTTTTTTTTTAATGACAAGCTCTTTCATTAATTTGCAACTTAATATTATCTCTGGGCATAAACCTCACTTACAGAGGATGTCACTGTACATTTAATGGTTAGAAAAGTTTCCAAAGTCCTCTAATATTCCTTTCGAATATTCATCTCTTGTGACTACGGTTTCTATTTTGTATACAGGTTTCTCTTTGAGCCCCTCCGCTATTGAGCTTTGCAATCTTTCTCTTGAAAATCGTCCATCTCTATCACTCCGTCTGTGAGTTGCGATTATGTTCTCATAAATTAATCTTTTTGCCTGCCCCTTGCTCTTCTTTTGAGAATCTCTCCTTCCCTCCTGATTCTGTTAAACTGAGTTAATAGCACTTAAAACTCGGGTCTCAGTTTCAGTCTGGACTCCCTGACATATTACGTGAATGGAAAAATAAACGTAGACGCATAAATCTTTTTCCTAAAATGAATATATGTGCATCGCCATTCTTTATTCTACACTGAAAATTCATCAGTATAACTAGGTCCTATTTTCGAAAGCCACAAACAAATGGAAGATCAGAAGAAAAGTAATTTAAAATTTTACATGGTCTGGATTTATCTTAAATAGGATTACTCTCCAGATCTCTCCCGCGTCCTATTTCCCCAGCCCCAGCGGGGGGCGGCCCTGCACAGCGCTGGGGGAAGGTGGAGCAGCTGCCCAGGCCTGGCAGGGGGGTGCTGCCGGTCCCCACAGTGCAGAGGGAGACAGGGGCAATGACAGAGACTGGAGGCCGAGTGGAAGGGACCCGGCTCCTGACTGCATCTGAGGACGGTGGGGAAAACGGGGTGTCAAGGATGACCCCCCAGGGCTCGGCTTGTGCTGCCGGGCCCGTTCCCTGGGGAGGGCAGGGGCTCCCATGGAAAGCATGTTTCCTCAAACTCCTCGCGGGGGGCCACGGTGTCTGCGCATTTCAATGCTCCGTCCCGGCCCCACACGGGACGGCCGAGACGCACCTGCACGCGACAGCACTTGTGCCCACGGGCGGCATCTACCGGTGCCGGGCACTGCGGAGGGCGGCTGCGTGCGGCCGGACCGAGCAAGGCTCTCAGATCTCCGTCGGCCTCGCCAGACGCAGTAACACACGTGCCGCCTTTGCAATGCTAATGCTGCGCTAGAAGCTTCCCCAGTGACTCTTCAGTGGGAGAATCGACACGCGTCTCCTGCTGGCGGCTGCGCCTGACGCAGCTCGGCCTGGAACCGTGGGTTCGGAGCTCCCTGCTCTCTGCCTCGCGCACCCCTCGCTGGGACCTCCTCCCGCAGCCCCCCAG